CCATATACTACTTATATTCATTCTTATCAGCGACGCCCACTACAGTACTTTAACAGATTGATGAAATATGGTCCATTTTCAGATGAAAGTCAAAACTTTAGCGCTTGTTCTTTGTACTACTTACTTCTTAACTCCTCTGTTTAAAAATAAGGCGTTTTACTTTACATGAGACAAAATCTTTCCTTCACTTACAATAATTGTAAAACACTTTTCCATCAAAGATTAAAAATTCTGAAATATAAATCAGTTTCATGTGCTAATCATTCATGATGCTAGAAATGCTTTTCCAAGTTGCTGTAGAAAAATGATTTAGTTTTATTATATGTAGTGAGAAATTCGACTTTCTGTATGTAGTTTTGTTGATAAAACAAATTGAATGTATACCTATATTAATTCTTAAAATGTAACCGGAAGAGAAATCTTATCCATTCACTTACGTCAAGGATCAGGAAAATATGTAATGAGAACATTGTTGACGGAGAACTGCAAATACTTTGACGAACTCTAGTATAAAACAGTTTCCTGCTTAGATTCATAGATAAGAACATGAAGCTAAAGAACCCAACTGAACGAACACATTTAGCAACGAAAAAGATTCTTTTGTTGAATCTTGTATTCAAAAATGATAGTACTGTGGACATTCTCAAGAAACGATTGTCAAAATCCTTATATAGAACATACTTCACCTTCGACCTTCGAATTTCGATTCTTCTATAAGAAGCTTTTCGGTCAATATGTAAAAGACAAGTCAACGCATTGGGCCACCATCAGTGTGTGTATACTAGTTTAATTGCTATTGTGGAGCTGACGTCTTGCTCTTACTCGGCTGTACCATACGTCCACTTGTAAAACGTGCCCGTGGACGCTGTTCAGTCTGGCTGATAAAGAGAGAACGGAAATGCATCTTCAGTTGAATAACAGAACACCTCGCGAACTCAGGCCACTTGGCTTCTTTTGAGAACTCATTCAAAATCGTTTACAGGGTTCGATCAAACTACTCGAAAGGAGTAAGATCAAGGCATTTGATTATGTCTGAAGCATTAGTCATTCAGAAGTTCAAACCAGCTTATGTGTTCAAAAAAGGTACGTTCAACCTTTATCTTTGCCGTAACCATCACAAGGCCATCATGTATTGCATAATTACATTTTATTTCATAATCCCTCATCTGTTTTCCCACTCTAAACACAAATATGTATTCATTAACTTCCTTCAGCTGTTCTATATATTTTGCCTTCTAACCGGAAATAATTCTGGAACGTACTGTTCATTGTAACATTTATATACACGTATGTACCGCTTAGTAAATGACTTCGTCGAGAAGAAACTCTTTTCTTCGCTGTAACTGGATTTGAGAAACAACTTTTGCAACCTTCACTAGTTGAATACTCTCTGCGCTTAATGGTTTGATAACGCAAACTGGAAAAATATCTTCAAAATGAGCATCACATGGAAACAAAGCTGATGATTCTCCGTTAAGCGACTTGATTCCATGTCTATCAAATTAAATAGCAGCTCTAGATAATTATTCAAGTGGAATAAATATGTCACCTAATTTTTCGCTGAATTTTTATTCAAGAATTTCGTTTCTGATTAATTCACTATTACGTATGAGTAGTCATAGATATGGTTTCGATTGGGAAGTGCAATCGTATAGAACAAGGTAACGTGATCTCGTAGTCAGAATTGTACCAGAAACATATTGTGACAGGTGGAAATCTAAAAGTTTAAGGGCAAGACGTTCGTAGTTCCCCGATAAATTATATCTGACTTGCTAACTAGCGTTGGAATTCTGGGCGCGTTTTCTCCCATTTAGGACGCTTTTTCTGGATATATATTCAATGAGACTCGATCCCAGTACCCATCGCTTCAAACTTCAAAGCGTTATCCACTAGGCTACCGAGTCGTTTGAAGCGATGGGTATAAGGTTTGAATCTCAGTGGAAATAACTTCACTTACTGTGATACAGGTAGATCCAGTTGACTAGTGAGTCCCGAATGGAACAAAATGCTCTCCTGGGTTCTGCTGCTAGCCATCATGATGAATATAATATCATGATTATCTGGCAGGATCGAGGTATCCGCATAGAAGCCAATCGACCAATAGAAGACGAGTACCTTGGTTATGTAAGCAACGGGAAGTTGCAAGTGTTAAAGAAACAGCCAGTGATAAATTCTCTTCCGCAAAGCATTACAGATGATAAATCAAGTAAATGATCGCTTCGATCAGTCATTCTGTTTCAAGGTTATTGTAGACATGAAGTCAAACAAACATTTGGCAAGTTGACCAGCTTTGTTCCTCTGTACCGGTCATCTTGCAATTGTTTTCCAGTTTGGAAACTGAAACATTACCTGTTAAGGCATCGTACTCGGAGGGGAAGTTTAAAACTGCAGTACCGTGGTAGATATGCCTTGTCGACCGCTGTCAAAAAGCATGAAACGTAGGTTCAGGGCTTCCTGTCGGTTACCTTCATCAAAGTGCACCACAATTACGAGCCTCTTAGGTTGATGGACACATTGCAAAATGATCGATAGAGTTCGGTCAGCACTGAGGACTAGCCAACATGAGGTTGGTCGCTGTTTAGTGATCAGCCAATTTATGTAATCCAGTCCTGCAGGAGGTCAGTGGCGTACTAAACAGCCCTGTGGTAACACCTCTGACTGTAGTACTGATTGACACGGGTTCGAATCTCAGGCGAGATATTACTTCCTTCAGGGTTGCAGATATCCCTTACTGATGAGTGCCGACAAGCACAAGACCTGAATCTACAGCTTCCTACCGATTCTGTGCAACCAAATAACAGTGGTTGAATGTCATTCTTTTCATAAACGATTCGTTCATTTGATATACTACACAGTCATACATTGATATTTTACTAAATGATATTTCGAGCATAAACTGTTGCTATAATTTAAGCTGAAACTGAATATCTTGTTCACTCTGTTACTCAAACACTAGACTGAATCATTTCCATCTTTAACTGTTTGTTCATTCCAGTCTATTTCATTATTTTTCTACTTGAATTTCATCAGATTTATATTTATGATTTTCAGTTTATGTGATTTTTATGTAATTTTTTGAGAGAAACAAACATTAAGTTGTTTTCTTTCATAACTTTAACCTTTTGCACCTTATAATGTAGTCGGTGATTTATCTGTTCTACTAACAATTTGGGGTTAATTATATAAATTCCAATTGGTCTATATTTCAACAAGTTTAAAACATTAGATGAACAGTAAATTTCATCTCAAAATAGTCTTCCTTATGATCCGATGCCAGTTAGAGAATCGTTGAAATTCTGGGAGCAGTGAAAAGTCCTCTCAGCCTCCTGTAGAACCCCTCAGAAGGTGCACACCTGCTATCTAGTAAGTGATAGAGTCAAAGGCTGTCAATTCTTGTGGCAAGCACGTTGTTATGCAGCTATTGGATAGCAGTCCAATAGTTCACTTTCACCTACTTCTTTCACATCGTAATCTATTGTTATGATCCTCCAATGCTATCAATGAGTATTTATGTTTATTTCTAACTTGATTGGTCCCACAAATCACGACTTTGTGTACGAGCTTCATGAAATCCATCTTGAAGCAAGTTACTAATTAACTTAGTGTATTGGTTCAGTTAGTGTTTTGAGACTGGTATGCGAAGCAGATTTATTGCTTTCAGTGGTGGAATATAGGCTGCATGTTTTTTCCTGTTTGGGACTCATCAGCTAGATGTACCTACCTCCTAGTGAGCGACCTCGTTCCTATTAAGACTCAGGTCAGAAAATGTGCAACTGGTATAGTTTTAAATATTCACACTTCTATTCTACCATCGTTTATTCGACCGAATTCATCTGTCCGTATTGGCATATGAGCTCCTGTGAGGACACCTCGATATTGCCTTTATTTGAAATTGAAATTCGTAATACAAATAATATCCAAGCATCTGACTGACAAGTCCAAATTAAGACGACAAGTTCATCTTTAATTCTGATGCCAGCTACCATTCAAACAGGCAACCTCAAACTGAAGTAATCAAAATTTTGAGGCAATCACACAAGAGTGGCAAAATGTAAATAGGGATGCAGTTATTAAAGTGAAGAGAAATTGGAAATGTATACAGCAGGTGGTTACCATCGTTTAGTCCCCTGAAGGACACTACTGTTTCAAGTCATGATATAATCTCGGTCTTCTTTCAACTTCAGTCATCAGCACCTTACAGTAAACCTTCTTAGTCTGAAAACCATGGATTGAATTCTTTTAAGATTTTCTTTTAGTTAACATGGTCAAAACTATGTAATAATTAAAATTTGCAGTGAAGTATGGTGATGAACAATACGAGTAGTTAGGAATCTCTCAAGGGAACGCTACCAAAGAGCCTAATCCTAAATCAGTGAAATGGTTGTTTTGTGTTTAGATTCGCTGAATCTAGAAAGTCAAGTCTGTGAATCAATGTGAGTTGTTACCAACTACTCACGTCATTTCATCAGTTCAAGACACTTTTGTGTCATAGATCACAATTTTTGACCTTGTCTGGTTGGTTTGTTATGCAATGCCTGTCGACAATACCATTGAGTAGTTGAATGTGAGAAATGTCAGTGTTAAGCCCGTAATTTGTAAATAAATTACCAAAAGATCTCACTAATGAGATGAATTTAAGTTCTGGATTCCGCTAAAGTTTTTGGAAGTTGTCAAATGAACCTTCAGCTCAGACTCACATCATATAGATGCAAATCATAGAGTAAAATCTAGAATCTACATGAAGTTAAATGTCTTCATAGTCTAAGATTGTATTGTTCGTTGTAGGTATTTGAGATGAAAACGGCTCCCACTCACCTGATGATAATAAATACACTGTAGCATAAAGTTAAATCATTTACTTCAGTGATTTGATTACCCTGGTGATAAGAATTCGGTATAAATAATTATTTAAAAATAATTTCTTTTCTTCAACTGATATGATGAACTTGTACAATTGTTTATTTGAAAGGATTAAATTAAACAGAAGGTGATCAACTTACAATGTCACTCAGGTTCGTTATAAAATTCAAAAATTTATCTTCTGTTTGCAGTAAGGATTCAGTTTCTTTATTTTTTAATTCAAGTTCATGCGATACCTGAATTGAATGATCCAATTTCTAAGATGTTGTTTAAAAGAAGAAACAACAAAGATTCTGACTGTATAATGGCGCCAAAAAATGTATAAATCATTTGATAGCTAAGCATAGGTTTACTCTGTATACACTAGGCTAATATTGATGAAGAAGTTGAATGTATTTCTTTCAAGCGTCTGAATAAAGCAGTGCAGGGATAAACAATGAAAAGAGGAACCGAACCTCAGGTATAAAACATTACATTGGACAAAGAAGTGAAGAAGAGTTCACGCAAAGTTAAAAGACACTTCTACGACACATTACACATTGGCAAGTGAAGCAGAACAGGCTGCAGGTAGGAGAGACAGAGACCCGACAACACTATATCAAATAACCAGGGAATAGATCAACTCAGATGAAACCAATGAGAGATAGTGAAGGAAACCTAGTTATGAAAGAGGAGAAAAGAAGGAAAGGATGAACTGACCACTTCAAAAAACTCTTGAACCGACCACCAACACCACCACCACCGCCAGCAAGTCGTCCAGAAATACCACCGGCAACCGCAGAATTATCAGCGAACCCATCCCCTCCAACAAAATCTGAAGTCCTGAATGGCATAAAGCAGCTGAAATCCATGAAAGCTGTGGGACCAGATGGAATTCCTCTAGAAGCACGGAAAACAGACGCGGATACATTAGCAGCAGACATGCTCACACCGATATTGCAGAAGGTTTAAATGGAAGGAAGGAAAGGTAGCTGCTGAATGATTAGGAGAAGAGATGCCTTGTCGAACTCCCAAAAAGAGGAGACCTAAATCTTTGCAAGAACTGGCACCAAATCATGCTCCACTGTCCACTTCAAGCAAAATATTAAGCCTCACCACATTTGAGAGACCAGAAGATGCCCTGGACTCAAAATCACGACCGGAACAGGCTGGCTCGCTGGCTGGATTCAGGTAGTACAAATCATGTGCGGACCGAATTGCAACTCTACGCTTCGCATCATCATTGAACAGAGTATAGAAAGGTAGTCAACCCAACTCCACCTCAACTTCACCGACTTTGAAAAGGCCTTCGACAGCCTCGATCGAGAAGTAATTTGGCAGGAAGTTGTTTCAACACTACGGTTTTATTGCCATAAACCGTTATCAAACTCACTCAACAAGTGTATGAAGACGCCACTTGCCAAGCGATTCACAATGGAAAGCTCATTAAAGCCTTAGAAGCGAAGACAGGGGACAGGAGTAAGACGAGACAAGGCTGCCACCTACTATCATCGATCATCTTCCTCATTGTGGTCGACTGGACTGGATCATGCAGCAAACCGTGAGGAGCAAGAGGAGGGGCGTGCGCTGGATGATGGACCGATGAAGAGACTCTAGAAGATTTGGATTTCAACAACGATGATGATTCATGTCTAGTGTCTAATGTCGCACAAACTCGAAGATCTACTGGCGAAAACTAACAAGTTGACAGAAGAGGGGAGGCAGAGCAGCGAAGGAAGACGGGACTTGCTTCAGGTGAACGTAGACAAAACACAGGTGATGGAGATACCCAACCAACAGCAACAACAAGCACCAATCACCATCAGTGGGAGAAATCTAAAGGAAGTAGCCTCATTCACCTATCTACCTTAGCTGGGCAGCATCGTTTCAACTACAGGTAGGGGCACAGACAAGGACGTCAAAGCCATCCAGAATCGGAAAGACACCAACACAGATCTTCCTGCATCAACCTGAAATAATCAGTGTGGAGATCTACTGCACTCCACTGCACTCAGCATAAAGCGTGAACAACATCCGGATTCTCAACACTAGTGTCTGTCAAGTAAGTTAGTGCTTCTATGTAATGGTTGAGAGACTTGGCGCGTCACCGAAACCACTTCCAACAAACTACAGATATGCATCAAGCAACCCCTGCCTACACTCACTCTATACTGAAGATCAGGTCAGGTCAGATCAGATGGCCAGAATAATAAGAATAAGCAACGAGGAACTCACTGTGGTTGTCAATGGACGAATTAAGCAAGAACATATCACCCAAGAAATATACAGAATAAGAAAGTGGAGATGGATTGGATTGGGCATACAGTGATAAGGTCGATTGGGGACATCACACACCAGGCCAGACCAGACCGTCGAGTGGAATGCAAATGGGAAAGGAGGAGTTTGGCGTCCGAGGCGAGGGTGACATGGAGGAGATCATGTGAGGAAGAAATGAGAGCTTGTGGGTAGTGGTGGTGGCAGGTTGAGAAGACTGTAGAGAAGAGAGTGCAGTGGAGGCATGTTACTGAAGCTCTATGTTCCACTAGGAACCCGAGGGAGAAAAAATAATATATAATATAGATTTTTCTTAGTATTAGAGGCTGATTGCTAATTCATCTCATGATTTTTTTCTCAGGTATTTTCAATTTTTGTGTATGTGAGAATGGACTGTGCGTTTCTCATATACTTGCAACAATTTTTTGGCATCTGTGACTAGTTTCTTCCGTTTAAATTTTGTTTTGAATAATGAGATTTGACATATCCAGATGAGAGGAGAGTTTAATTTTGATGTGCTATTGATCAGAGACTGATATGATTTCTAAAACCAATGAAATCCTTGGAACACTGTACAACTGTTCCGTCGTAGTAGGGGCTCCTCAGCAGCACACATCCTTGACCCGGATAGGGATCGAACGCAGGACCTTCAGGTTTCACGGCGGACGCATTAATCATTCAGCCACTGGGTGGGGTGATAGTTGCACAATAATGCGAAGTGAAAAAAGTCAGAAATTGTGAACCGGTGGACTCTGACTCTGTGGCTGAATGTTTAATGTGTTCTTCTTGAAACCTGAAGGTCTTGGGTACGACCCCTAGTCGGGTAGTTGGTGCGCGCTGCTGTGGAGTCCCAGAGTAGAACGAAACGGCTGTCGAGTGCTCCCAGACTTTCAATAGTTCCCCAACTGATGTCAGTTCGTGATGAATTCCACCTTAAATTAGATATGCTTTAACAGTTAGATTAGGTGAATATTGCCATTTTAGCAAGATACTGTTTAAACTGCATCTTCAAGAACAGTGAATAGTATCAGTGGCACCTCCAGTTTGATCTTAATTCAAACATTGAACTATATGACGATCATTTATGAATTTGAGATTTAATGCAGAATCTTTTGGAGTATTCAATAATGCAAAACAGTTTTAATGCGTAGTGAGCAGCAGGAAGCTGAATTGACCTTGGGAAGGATATCAGTGTGATTTAGGTGGCAAATTTATGTTAAGAAAAAAACAATCATTGTCTTCTTGTATAGAGAAAAACAAGTTAAGATAACTAGTTTTATGAATATACTACTAAATAACTTGAGTAGTTAGAAACCATTTAAGCTGGTCGGTAGATTTCACCAGTCAAATCAGAGTGATCTCAGCACCAGACAGCCGTTTCACTTGTTCCAAGCTCATTGGAGGAGTTGAGTCACACAGCCCAAATGTTCAGATCAACTGAATTTGGCTAGCTGACTTGCATAGACCTGCAAACCTGGTTGGTTCATAACTACTCAGTTTGTTTAATAGTTGTATATTTAACCAGTTCATGACTGTTTTGTGATCTTAACTGCCGGTTAGTTTCCAGCACAAATTTTGTTGACTGGTATCACATTTGGGCAGTTAAAAAATTACTCAACTATGAGAAATGTCAACATGGACTTAACAACTTTTAAATCACTTACAAACTGAATATTATTGTAACTGGGCAACTAGGGGTGGTTTGGAAATATTTCTGTCACAACTCCATTAAGTACTGACTAAGATTACTATGAAATTTTCTTTTCTGTTATGAATCAATCTGAATATGCTTCGATAAAGATGATTCCCTACTTCTTCAAACTGTCTTTATTAACGCATTGTAGGATAATTCAATTGAATTAAATGGAAACATATGCTGGTAAACAGGCTCCATTGAAGTATGAAGAGCGAAGTATTACTGTTTATATCTTTGATTACTAATATATTTATGAGGCACATCACTTTTCGAAGATGGTCAGTGTCTGAAGGAAATCACTCTATTTTTACTTACTTATCAGATGTATCAGAATATTATTAACTGGATGACGTTTGGAACACAATTTATTGTCCATAGCCATTTCGAAGTAACTCTACAGCCTTGAGATACACTTTATATAGCTCTCATTGTCTTTACTCTTGTGTGATATGGATTGCAGATTTTTGCATATATCCAGTACAGATTTCGAGTGATTTCTACTAGAGCAGTACAAAGGAAGTCTCAAAATTATAGAGCTACCCTAAACATCATGGTGCACTATGACTGACGTTGGAAGGTTGGAGGTAATTGATAGGAGGCTCTGAGTAACCTAGGTTTCCTGCTTGTGAACACTAATTAGAAAGGCTTGGCTGAAAACTCGAGGAACCTGCTTTCTTTATCTAACATCAAGCGGAAGGACTTCGATGTTGACCAATTATAAAATGATCGGTAGAGTTCGGTCAACCCTTAAAAATAAACAATATGAGGTCAGTTATTGTTTGACACTTGCAAACTGATATTACTCTATGGGGTCAGACTGCTTGACCTTTGTAAGTAGATGGGCTTCTGTGTGGTTAACTCTGTACTGACGAATATTCATGATGTTGTATTCATCTTGATGACTGACACTGGAATTCAGGATACGCATTTCGTCGTATTTAGGATTCGTCAGCGGGATGTATCTTCACCCCGGTAAGTGACTTTCTTCCCACCAAGGCTTGAACCCAGTACCCATCACTCCGAACCCCGAAGTGTTATTACAAGTGTCAGACAACAAGTGATACCCATCGCACAAGAGGTGGCTATCGTGCCCCAGTCACCTAGTTGATAACACACCAGGATTTGAAGCGCTGGGTTCGGATCTAAGTTGGAACAACATGGATTACCAACTTACTTGTTGAATTTGTTTCATTTCAACTTCTTTATGAGCAAATAAAATCTCCATTTTTTGAAGTATTTCATTCAAATGTTGATGAAGATAACGAAGAATCATTTCACGTTCATCTGTGAGATTTTTATCCATGTTTTCAATTTCTTTTTCATAAACTCTTTTCAATGTACTAAATTCAATAAATGAACAATATATACATATGATAGTTATTTGCTGAAAATCTGAGAGTAAATAAAACCGCATAATACATTCTTGTATAGTGCTCATCACGGGCACGCTTTGAGATGTATCTCCCGAAGTTCTAATGAGAATCTGTGGCGTCAGTCTAGTCGGAAGTGAAGCGGATGCCAGTTGAAGACCTCGGGGGATAATCACGCTATATGGCGAATTGACAGAAGTTGGAAACCTTGAACCACTAAACTCTGACTCAGCGAACAAATGGTTAACACGTCCTGACCCTTGAATGGGTCTTTTGTGTGTACTCCTAAGGAGTTCCCTGGAAGGACAGAACGTTTGTCCAGTACCCTCGGGTTCCCAATACTTTTCTAACTGACATCAGTTTTTGTTGAATACTAACGTGATAATAAAATCCCTGCAAGCTTCAAACTTCATCGAGATATTCTTTACATTTTAATTCTGATTACTTCTATGAAGAAACTTGAACTAGACGTCTGTACGACACGTTAGAATTCTTTCATTTTAAATGCACTGAGACTTATACAAATTTAACCTATTTGTGTCGATCAGGTTGTGAAGCACAGAGGACGAAAGAAAGAAGTCTACACCACAGCACTTATATTTATCACTAATAAATCTTCCCAGTGAAACGGGAGTATATCGTGAATAAACACTATTTAAAAAGACCATGAAATCAGTTACTGTAATGCTTTGAGAACTATATGTTGTACCACTATAGCAGCCAACGATGCACGGATATCGTGTGTCAACCACCAACGTTCAACAAATTCCTAGTTGATTCTCGACACAACTAATTAATGGGGAAGACAAGATGGACGTGTATAAGGTGTATTTGAGTGGAAAGACCAAAGGCCACAACAAAGAAGAATACAGCTAATATATAGATAGTTCGCTGTTTAAAATAATCCTATTGATTGGCTGTCTAGCTGCAGACGTGATAACATAAAATATACTTTAACTGGTTACTGTTTACCCCCATGTCACCCCCCCTTCGAACGAATATTATTTGGGGTCCTATTAGGCCGCAGTCTTTGTTTACATCTATCTCACCGACGCAGAGGGAGTTCCTCCTTGTTTACTGAGGGAACAGTAGTCTTCTGGATATTCTTTTGGTGCGTAGGTGCATCAGCATGAAAATCAGATACCTACCGATCGGCGATATCTGGAGGATGACCTCTGTACACGTCGTTGCATATGTTGGTGGCAAAAATCGTCCTTATGGGCCCCAGCTTAATAGTCCCAGCATCGATGTTGTCTATGTGAACAAAAATTGATGAAATGCTAGACACCGTAAGGCCATCAAGGCGACAGGGGCATCTTCTTCGATGGTCGGTTGGCATTGCATAAGTTACTGGGGTGATGAACAGATGAGATAAGGCCAGGGGTGTGTGTAGCCAGAAGGTGGTGCATAGGAATAAGATTTCTGATGAACTATAAGAACTCCAGAAGCACCCTGCTGTCTAGGTTGGAGTATACACATAACACACCGCAGGTTACCCAGTTGCTGGAAACAGTTATGCTATACCGAGAAGTAATTTGGCAGGAAGTTGTTTCAACACTACGGTTTTATTGCCATAAACCGTTATCAAACTCACTCAACAAGTGTATGAAGACGCCACTTGCCAAGCGATTCACAATGGAAAGCTCATTAAAGCCTTAGAAGCGAAGACAGGGACAGGAGTAAGACGAGACAAGGCTGCCACCTACTATCATCGATCATCTTCCTCATTGTGGTCGACTGGACTGGATCATGCAGCAAACCGTGAGGAGCAAGAGGAGGGGCGTGCGCTGGATGATGGACCGATGAAGAGACTCTAGAAGATTTGGATTTCAACAACGATGATGATTCATGTCTAGTGTCTAATGTCGCACAAACTCGAAGATCTACTGGCGAAAACTAACAAGTTGACAGAAGAGGGGAGGCAGAGCAGCGAAGGAAGACGGGACTTGCTTCAGGTGAACGTAGACAAAACACAGGTGATGGAGATACCCAACCAACAGCAACAACAAGCACCAATCACCATCAGTGGGAGAAATCTAAAGGAAGTAGTCTCATTCACCTATCTACCTTAGCTGGGCAGCATCGTTTCAACTACAGGTAGGGGCACAGACAAGGACGTCAAAGCCATCCAGAATCGGAAAGACACCAACACAGATCTTCCTGCATCAACCTGAAATAATCAGTGTGGAGATCTACTGCACTCCACTGCACTCAGCATAAAGCGTGAACAACATCCGGATTCTCAACACTAGTGTCTGTCAAGTAAGTTAGTGCTTCTATGTAATGGTTGAGAGACTTGGCGCGTCACCGAAACCACTTCCAACAAACTACAGATATGCATCAAGCAACCCCTGCCTACACTCACTCTATACTGAAGATCAGGTCAGGTCAGATCAGATGGCCAGAATAATAAGAATAAGCAACGAGGAACTCACTGTGGTTGTCAATGGACGAATTAAGCAAGAACATATCACCCAAGAAATATACAGAATAAGAAAGTGGAGATGGATTGGATTGGGCATACAGTGATAAGGTCGATTGGGGACATCACACACCAGGCCAGACCAGACCGTCGAGTGGAATGCAAATGGGAAAGGAGGAGTTTGGCGTCCGAGGCGAGGGTGACATGGAGGAGATCATGTGAGGAAGAAATGAGAGCTTGTGGGTAGTGGTGGTGGCAGGTTGAGAAGACTGTAGAGAAGAGAGTGCAGTGGAGGCATGTTACTGAAGCTCTATGTTCCACTAGGAACCCGAGGGAGAAACAAATATATAATAAATGCTATAACGCTATGCCCGCGAACGATGAACGAATATGGATTATCAGCCACCCGTCATACACTACCTTTTTTTTGAATTTGTAAAATCTAGAGATTCAATATTAGATAAATTTATCTAACTTTGAATGTCATTATAACTTGTGAGATTGTTTAATATTTTCAATTAGCCTGAATGTTTCTGTCTACTAGAATGGAATAATGAAGGTATGATTTTACGGAATAAACAACAACACCCAGTTTTTTTTAACCACCACAAAAATTGATGACAACTAGCATTTTGTGGTGGGGATATCTGCTGTCACCTTTTCTCTTTAAGTTCATTACAGATTTATTGACTGATATAAATTTCGGTAATTCTGGATTAACAAGATATAAGCTCCTCCCTGAACATTATCTGTTTGGCTTACAGTATTCATCCGACATAGTCCTATTATAGGTTAAGATGCTTACCAAATGCAGTCTTCAGAACGCGCTGAAAAGAGGCTTGAATATGTTTGGCATTCATATCGCATCTGTCAAATGCAAGATGATGTTTCAGAACTGATTTGTGACTACTCCTAGCCTGAAATATTCATACGGACTGAATATTTGTTTACTTTTCAAGGATTACAATTTAAAAAATAGTTTTCTTCAGAAAGTTGTCATATCAAATGAAATACTATTACGTCCTCAACGTCGATAACAAATTTCTTTCATTTTCTACATCAGACTAATCAACGTTTTCTCCTTGTTGGTGAGATAGTATTGAAAAGTTGAGTTTTTAGCCATTTTTATGCAGTTAAACTCTTCAGACTCCCGAATGAGTATGTATTTGAATTCAATCTGCACGTGTAAGTTCCTAAGCTGAAGTTGTACTTGAACTGTTCTCATAGTAACCATACGCCATTAATGATTCTAATCAATGAGAGTTTTATGTATATAAATTAGATAAGAAAGTTATAAATGTGTATGGAATTAACGACAACCAACTGATTAGCCTAACTTCCAAACCCTATGTTACGAAGATGAATCCTGAAATAGTGGAGAATATTTGTAGCTCAGGTGAGTGGTCTTGGTTGTATTGTGTTCTCTGAGCTGGTTTTTTTAATCCACGTTGTTTAACCCAGCTCAAAGAACACAATACAACCAAGACCATCCACATATATTCTCCACTATTTCAAAATTATACGGGAGTAACATGCTTCACGTTGTCCGAAGATGGGAGGACTTCCCCAAAAGGAAAGCTTCCAAAAAAGAACAACTATTCTTTCTCCGTCACGGTTAAACAACCCAGCTCAGAGAACACAATACAACCAAGAAGGTCAATCCATAAACTGAAATTCTTGTGAAAAAATTACTTCATACTTTATAGCTATTTAAAACAGTTTTTCGGGTTTTACAGTTCACCACTTATTTTGATCAGTAATATTTTATTTATTTAAATATCCTGCCGCTAAGTTGATCCCTCTCTACAGAACAACATACCTCTTGATACAATTTAAAGTCAACACGTGTCCTTTTAGTTTTATCTCTAACTGTGCATATCATTTTACTTGCATCTGTGGTAGCAGTTACGTTGGAAGAATAGGGAGAAGGGTACACTTTAGTTTCATTGAACACATACCAAAAAGTCTATGTCTCAGGGGAACAAGTGCTTTCGACAGTGCAATCATTCAGCGTCTTATCGACACAGAGCATGAAGTAAGCACCTTATAATCCTTCAAGATAATCAGAAAACCACATAATTCGAACCTTCTCAAGTTTGCTGCAGTCACAGTAATCAAACGAGCAAAACCGGGGTTGTATGTTCCAAAAGAAGTAGTAATAAGTATTTCTTTACCCTGTTAACCTAGTATTTTACTCTCGCTCTTGTTTAGTGGCATCATATTTCGACTAAACCTTTTCTTCTGTTCGTACATAACTTCAATGACCGTTATGCCGACTGAGTTCAACTCGTTTTATTAATATATAATTTGATTGTTCTTTATCATCAACTGGTTGACTTTTTATTCTTCCTACGTAATCTTTTATTATTATTCGCATTCTTTTTTAAAGCGTTCCGTTGAAGCCCATATGCCAATATAGAGACCGATCAATTCGGTCCAGTCAACCACGCTATAATATAAGCAATTATACTAATTTGCTTGCCTTGTGTCTTATACCATATCGTGTAGATCCGCGCGTTTTCATATTTTCCCCCAGTTTACTTTCGACATGGCTTTAATGTTTGCATTGTTGACGCACCCCCTGTAAAGTACTTTTGACGGTGATAAATCGATAGGAATTTCACTGTTCGAGTACAGTTCCTCAGAAAAATTCTGTTTTGGATTTTATGCGTAACTCGAGCATGTGGTTTATCTGCTGAAGAAACACTTAGTCGTTCTGGTTTCTAATTTCTTGGAAGGAAATTCACAAATACTTTACCCAATATCCAGGTTAACCTTCAGTTCTCATGGCTAGTGTGTTAACAACTCTACCATGGGGTCAGATTCCAGCGGTCCACAGTTTCCAAATTTCTGTCAATTAGCAATGTAGCACGACTGTCATACAGGGTCATCAGGTCCTACCTGATTTTTCCTACTGGTTACGACCTCTCATTAGAACCTGGGGATATCCATCTAGATTTATATTGTTAATGAGCAACATACAGTAATGCAGTTCGACGTTTATAAGGATTTTATTTTCAAAGAAGTACTCACCTGTGACTGTCATCGTTTTTAGAACCACTGGAAACTTGGAGGAGAAACTAAACCCTGACTGGGTGGATAAGTGGATAACACGCTTTCCGCGAAACCTGAAGGTCCTGAGTTTGATCCTTGGAGAGGCAGGGTCATGGATGCGTACTTCTGAGGAGTCTCACACCAGAACAAAACGATTTTATGGTGCACCCAAGTTTTCAGTAGGTCTCCAGATGGTTTCATATGTCTTAGACTACGTTTACGGAATAATAAATGTTAGCAATAAATCAATCAGACTATAAATTAAACTACTATTATAGTGTTTCGTATCTTTACTCATTCACTGAAGAGTGTGTGATGGTGCTTGTGTTATCCCGTCATTGAGTGGTCCGAATTGATTAGTCTTTATTGGCAAATGAGCTCCTAGGCGGATCCTTCAATATTGTCTATATTTACTTTTCATTAATGTTGTTGAAGGTTGTTTAATTTAGTGGTATAACCAACTGCAACGTCAGTTCAATTCCAGAAGATCACACCCTATAGTCTTTTTTGTATCATTTATGACATCATTAATGGGCGACTTTGTAGATTAGTCAATGATTGCAAACCCTCCATCATATAGTTCAAAAATCGGTCATAACCACTCTGTTATTTTCTAATCAGTGAGTCTATTATGTATGCTTAACGATAACTATCGTTATTGTCAGGATGGTTGATATTCGCAGAATGATAAATGTGAGACGTGGTCAAGCATAGAGAGATAAACCAGGCTGGGCACTCGCTGCCGTCCGTCTCCTTTTCTGCTGATTGTTGACCTTTGATAATTTGAACTCGTTGGTCTTGTTGGCTGCTTTATCTGGCACGACTTTAAGTGGTAGACGAACAAGAAGAGTCCATTTTGATAATTGTCGAGCCACACTTCTGTGCAGCCCCAGACTAAGATGAAAAAGTTTTCCAGTGATCCTACCTGTTGATTCGTTCTGCAACTGATATCAGTCTGTCGTGAAAACCCTTTTGATATCCATCATTTCCGCCCCACCACAAACTGCATTATAAAAATCTGTTATAAGAAGTTACGTAATACAACTTTTTTCACTTTTAAACTTACTCGGTTAAACGTAACTCCATGTTCATTGAACGAATACCCGCCAATACACTTGGCTCATCGTAGGTGTTCATCTCCAGTGCTTCATGTAGAGCATTTGTTAGGTGGTCAAGATTTATCATACCATGCTTTGAAAATCCTAAATACTTAACATGTATTTAAAAAATAAATATTTGAGGATACAAAGTTTTATGCCAGAACCTAACTACTTACGAGTAGTACAAAGTGGAAGCAAAACTTTATAAAACAGTGTATATAATGCTCAGGAAATGTAATCAAACCAGTGATTTTTATTATCAAAGAGACCGTCTGAAAGACCCATGGCTTGACCGTCTGTTATTATTGACACAGTATGATAATTAAACTTGAAATAAAAACCTGAGTAGAGGCAGGAATCAAACTAGCAGCCTTGGGATACCGGCTTTATTTCACCTCCAGTCATCATCCATAATAAATAGCTTTTAAATCGAATAACTAATTATCCAATTATGAACACTGAGCTCTAAACTGAATCTGATTTCAGCCAGCTTTTTTTCATTGAATGGTACAAATATCATTCTGCTAACTGTAGTCACATTGATATATGTAATTTCGGGAAACTACAAGTATCACTCACCAAATGTTGTTATCACACTTATAATTTCCCGTTGCTAAAGAGGGTTGAATTGCTCGACCTCTATTGGCAGATGGTCCCCTATATGGGGGTCTCAGTATTGCTGAATATTCATGATGTTATAATGCTACAGTGTCTTATTGGATAATGCTCCGGCGTTTGGAGCGACGGGTACTGTGTTTGAGCCTCAGTGGGAACAACAACACACAGTGGTACAGGTATTTCCAGCTGATGTGTCCCAAACAGGACAAGATGCACGTCCTGGATTCCACTGTTAGCCAACAAGACCAACATAACACCATGGATATCCAGGAGTATCGAGGCATCCACACAGGAAACCATTTGCTAACAGAGGTCGAGCAATTCTACTCTGTATAGCAGCGGAAACTACAAGTATCATAAAAACAACTGATACCTGTTGCACAAGAGGTGATCGTCGTGCCCCAGTGACTTGGTGGATAACGCTCTGGGGTTTGAAACGATGGGTACTGGGTTCGAGCCCGGTGGGAACAACACTCACTGCGGTGCAGTTACATATGGCTGACCAGTGAGTCCCAAATAGGAAGAAGCGTGTGTCATGGATTCCTTTTGAAGTCATCAAGACCAATATAACATCACTTACTAGGTTGAAGATTCATCCAGCTGATGAGTCATAACTAGGATGAAACTCTCGTCATCCAATCCAGTGCTTAGCTGCCAACAAAAGATAACAAAGTATAATAACGAAGAGCCACCTGTTGATTTTTAATAGTGTTGTAGCATCTCTTATCGTGCGCTGAGCAGCAACGTTTAACAGGCAGATAGTTGGCCTTGGTTCGATAACATACATACGAAACATCTCAGTATCATTTTCACGTGAATAGCATTTCCTCATTTTCCGTCAACAATAACCCACCGTTTGATAAAGGTAAACCTTATTTACTTCTTGATGAAAAGTGTCTTTGGTAGTTAAACAAAATTTTCAGTAAGAACAGAAAGCCGTGATCAGGTTCAGTGAGCGCCTGAATGACCTGGAAATGTCAATACTACTGCCACACCGACAACTATGTAGAATACGATATTCAAGTATTAGTATCAGGATTTGTCTCTTGGGTTCCTAGTGGAACATAGAGCTTCAGTAACATGCCTTCACTGCACTCTCTTCTCTACAGTCTTCTCAACCTGCCACCACCACTACCCACAAGCTCTCATTTCTTCCTCACATGATCTCCTCCATGTCACCCTCGCCTCGGACGCCAAACTCCTCCTTTCCCATTTGCATTCCACTCGACGGTCTGGTCTGGCCTGGTGTGTGATGTCCCCAATCGACCTTATCACTGTATGCCCAATCCAATCCATCTCCACTTTCTTATTCTGTATATTTCTTGGGTGATATGTTCTTGCTTAATTCGTCCATTGACAACCACAGTGAGTTCCTCGTTGCTTATTCTTATTATTCTGGCCATCTGATCTGACCTGACCTGATCTTCAGTATAGAGTGAGTGTAGGCAGGGGTTGCTTGATGCATATCTGTAGTTTGTTGGAAGTGGTTTCGGTGACGCGCCAAGTCTCTCAACCATTACATAGAAGCACTAACTTACTTGACAGACACTAGTGTTGAGAATCCGGATGTTGTTCACGCTTTATGCTGAGTGCAGTGGAGTGCAGTAGATCTCCACACTGATTATTTCAGGTTGATGCAGGAAGATCTGTGTTGGTGTCTTTCCGATTCTGGGTGGCTTTGACGTCCTTGTCTGTGCCCCTACCTGTAGTTGAAACGATGCTGCCCAGCTAAGGTAGATAGGTGAATGCGGCTGCTTCGTTATTTATGTATACACTAATCAAACTGAGAAATAACTGTTTTTTTAAATATAAAGTTTGTCAGATTTTCTATGTACATCTTTCACCTGAATTTGAATGAATCACGAATTTGGAACTAACTAGAGCCAGCAGTGAAAATAGGACATATCACCTAGCATTTTACTTTTTAATGACAATTCATAGTAAGTGAAACTTCAAAAGCTTTGTCTTAGCTTTTTTAATTTGAGTTGTAGGCATTTTCAGTTTATCTGGATTTTTTAAGCTCCACATACTAATTTACTATGAACACGTTCATCTTAACTCCATGGTCATTGTTACAAATTTCATTTTTTAACCAGGAAATTCTCATTATTTAGTGTATACATGGGAAAACAAGACCAAAATTCAGCAAAGAACTTACTCGTTTCTTAGTGGTTGTCTCAAGGTCATCCAGCTGATATCCTAGGGTCGGTTTTCTTCTTTTATGTTTTTGTACGGATTACGGTACTTATTAGCGTAATTTGCTTTAAGGTGACTAGTCTTCAGAATGATATCCTTTTTCTCCTTCTTTTTATCCAGCTATATGCTAAATATTTTCAACCAGGACTTGGTTGTTCGTGATGATAATGAGTATGATGATGCGTATGTGATAGAAATTATTTTATTCGCCTTAACGTTTATTTAAATAATCAGTTATCTTAAGAATAAACCTATCCTACATTCGATGACCGTTGTAGGTCGAGATTATTTTAAATTGCCTATCTTGAAATACTTTAACAGAAAATATACTTGAAAATCCTTAATATAAGTTTGTCTGCTAAATTAGAAAGTTAGTACACTGAATATTGCAGCGAAGAAAACCTTTTCCACGAAATCATTCTATTAGACGTACATTCATGAATACATAGTTGAAAGAAAAGAATATTCCACAGTAATTTCTATTAAGGCTTAGTTGAAGCTTTAGCGATTCACAAGGTCAGACTATGAGTATTCGTTCGAAAGAAGTAAGTATAACCTCCTTCTTTGTCGTTGAGATTGTAAAAGAACAATCACTCCAAATAATTCTGTTATGACGTAATAATCTTTTATTTTGCAATCATTTCGATTATTTCCCCATTTTAAACGCCCATAAGCATTAAGTAAGTTTCTTTTAGCACATAATTTATGTTGATCTTTGACTGATATATTATTATAACAAAATATTCAGTCTTGATGAATGTTGTCCAAGGGTCACATAAGGAACTATCGAAATAATCAGTCAGATTTTGTTATTTTGTTGTGAAAACATAGCAATTACTACTTGTTCACTGATGGCTAGCAGTACAATACAGGTTTCGGGTTTCACCACGCTTGGGACTCGTCAGTTGCATGTGCCTGCACTCCAGTGAGTGACGATGTTCCCACTGAGAATACAGTCCAGCAACTATCTTTAAAAACGCTAAATAAATAACATCAATACGAAACTTCATACAATATCAAGGCATCTGTTCAAGAAGTCCATATACTAACAGAGATCGATCACTTTGATCCAGTAAAATAATCAGCGGGAAATCAAAAGCACCAGTAAATGTGAAAGTTAGTTCATGAAATAAGGATACCTAAGTGATGGTCTCATTAATTGCCAGGTTCGCTCCCTGATCATCTCACTTAATTGTTCAAAACACTCAGGGTAAAGTTATTCACCTAGTTTGTTTATTTATTTGAAAAAGAGACGAAAGTTAATTCAGAAGAGAGAGATATGAAGTAGACGATTTGCTGTAAATTCGCCGAAAATCGTATTTCATTCCACCTGCAGTTTTAAGCTTACAATAGTTAACTATTTTTACTGTTACATGTAAGTACCTGCTGACTTGCTGACTTTCTTTGTTGTTTGATGGTCTCTTCATCGAGATCTTTCTTCGTAATCTAATTATTATATACTGCTCATGTATATGAGAGTGGACAATTGAACAATAACCTTCAGATATCCCTCTTGGTGTTTGCTCAGTTCTTTGATAAATAGAAAAGGTGGCAAGATAACAGGTGTATTGCGCACAAAACACAGCCATTTATATAAATTTACAATGACCTTGATTATTTCTAAGCCCTTTTATCGATTTTGTTGGCTCAACGAATCTTATATTTGTACATAGATTCAAATGGATTTTCTTGAAACCTCTCGACAAAAGGACTAGCTATAAAATCCAAGAGAGATTTAGGGTTTCTTATGGTGATCTCAGCAACCTTATCACACATTATATATAATACTAAACATAGTGATAATCGTAAAAACACAGTCGTCACTTCCATAGCTATCATTATTACTAACTAGTAACTACTGTTTACCAGCAAAGCGCGGCAGTCTAAAACCCAATTTATTTATGAAACAAAAGTTAAACTGTTGGTTCGATACCAAAAACGCTCTTGTCCAGTTTCTAATGGCCTCAATGAAGTGACTTCAACATCAAAAAATCATTTTATCCAGCAAAAACTTCATAACTTAAGAATACTATCATGCAGAGAACATAACAAGTATCATACTCGTAGTATTTAAAAACTATTCATCAATGAAAAATTCAAAGACGGATGATGTACTGTAATAACATCTTGTACACTTATATTGTAATTTACTTCATGGGTATCGTTGAAATTTAGGGAATGCGTTTCTTTCTGTTTGGAGCTGGATTCACCTGCATCCCAGTGAGTGATAGCACTCCCATTGAGAATCGAACAAAGTACCCAATGTTTATGATACCAAAGCGTAACCTACTAGGCCAATGAGGTACGTTATCACCCACTGGGGTTCCAAGTGACGAGTTCAAAACAAGACGAAACAAACGTTACGGATCCCACGACTAGTCATCATCATTACAACACATGAATTCTCTAAGTATTGAACGCCAAAAACACCAGTGTTATAAAATATATTGAACGATACTCACTACTAGTAGGTTTTCAACATCGGGAACTCCAAGTTTATTCCAACATTTTTCTATTGTTTCAGCATCACTAAAACTGTATAAAGATTAAAAAGGAAAAATCAATGTTAATTGTAAAACTCAGAAAACAGTAGTAGTATGAATTATACTTGAAGATGAAATGTCACTTCCATTTTCGAATGGGATCGAAATAATATGATTCTGGCAAATGTAAGATGTTTCATTTCATAACCTTCAAGTCACTCTGAAGAGTGTCATAAGTCAAAGAAAACAACAATTCGCTTTCTGAGAATTTTTTATCGCTTTTTCGCATAAATCAATATGAGATCAACACAGAAAAAATGGGATACGACTGATTGTATTTTGCCTCACCACGGAAATTTTTAGTAAAAAGTGAAAGATCTATCCACGAGTGAAGAAACACCAGAATTATCAGGTTGTGAACCTTAGTCAACTGAGATGTTGCTCATGCTGGGCCACCGCCTACCTTGACTTGGCATCCTAGTGGGAGAAGCTGGATTACATTAGAAGAGGGTTCACAGTGAGCAGATCAAGATTTGATACCGTTTCATAAAGTCTCTTACTGTTGGTGTGAGTCATGTGGGAAGATATAAACTATCTGATTGGGGTCCCGAAAGAAAGGAATCAGTGGTTGAGGACTGTCTCTTGGTAACATGGCTGGAAATTGGGCATAATGTTACAGGTGTATTCACTCAATGACATATCTTCTAAAGCTTGAATAGTCCCACTTACCTTTATCTTCAGATTGTTTTTTCTGTCACACTAATTTATCTACTTTGTTATTACTCTTATTGTATCCACCTGTTCTTTGTGTAGTTCAGTGAAATGTAGCTATTTGGGTGGATGCACTTGTGTGCAAGGTTCCGCTATGATTATGCCAGTCAGTCAGTTAGGTGAACACATTCTTCACTTACCGAGGTGTTCGTGAAAGTTGATCAAGTTTAGTTCTCTTCTTTCTCCCTGATAAACTGTAGTTTGGTTATCACTATACTTTTGTGAGTCTTCTATGACATTCGATTTATTAGCTGATTGTATTATTATTTGTTACGGAATCTAAGATAACTGTTCAGTATTCAAATTGTCAATATACTGAAGAACTTGAGTGGTTAGAAATCACTCAGACTGTTTTGTAGATTTTGCAGCCCGAATCAGAGTGACCACACTGCTAGATGGTCTTTCGCTTGTTTACGTCCGACGTCATCAGTGGTGTAGCCAGACAACCTCACGTCTTAGAGCAAAATTACTTCGGACAGCCTCAATTTGACTAACTGACTTGTCGGTACTACTTAACGGTAACTTTGATGTGATACTGTGAAGACCCAACTTTATGAACTAATTTATAGATAGTAACAGGTTGATAAATGTTGTGGCTGACTGCCGATAAAGCTTTGAAAGCTGATGTAATATCACATGAATAGGATATTTTAGTACAACTTAAGAACTGATGGAGTTTACTGCAATAAATATATCTTTTTATTGTCTCATCTTGAGAAAAATTCTGCACAATTATTTCCGCATACCAGGCACAAAAAATATTCAGAATACATATTATAGTGAATTAGTTAAAACTGATTGTCAACTTTAGTGATTTTATAAACCTCAGTTGCTTCTGATGTTGATGCGATACGCGAAATCTTTAATAAGCTTAAGACTGCTCAAGAGTAGCCAAGATAAAAATAATCAAAAAAGGGTTTTAAATAGCTTGTCCCTACAAATGTTCTTGATGAACATTATTGATCAAACGAATAAAACAGCGATTACTACTACTGATACTAATAACGGCGCAACAAAATCATCTGCATCTGATGATACCATATCAAAAAAGTAATTCTGAACAGATTAAAAGATTATGGGTACGTCATGGCACTAAAGTCTGTTTTAAACCTTTAAATCCACTTGACAAGTAACAATAATAATAATAATAATAATAATAACCGTTTTATTGCAAACATTATGTATCATAGTAAGGAATTCTCAGCATGTAATTATTCAATAAATTCACCCCTTGAACAACACTTTCAGATGAAATTGGTATTGCATCTACATGATGTTAATAACAACAGTATTGAAGGCAATAATATGAAATAGCCAGCTGGTTCTGGATGGGCATTCAGTCCATAATGAAGAATCAACAGAAATGCGGGCGAAAATTTGGTGGTGGTGGTGATTCATTCAGATTGTACGAAAATCTGCAACTCAAGCTAAACATCTGAAGGACAAAAATACAATATAGTATTTTGCATCGAAAGTCCACTTCCATATATCGTAACATTTTCCCTCTCTTTTGTTACTGACTCGAGAAACGGATAGTTGGAAACAGTTTAAAAATGTGCAAGACTACATGATACATCCAAAGAATATATTTAAATGATTAAAACAAATCGAAGGTAAAGAATTTGATGAGAAATGTTCAATGGGTAAATTTAGTAGCCCAAGGTTGAAGCTGGCTTCCGTAGTCAAAGTGAAAGATACAATTCCTAAGATGACGCAGAACAGCTATGTCCACAAAATCGAATGTCTGAAATATGAAGCTAATTATATTGGAGAAAATTGCAGAACCTTAAAAATTAGAGTGAATGAAATACAAGTTATGTACGTAACATCTACCTAGGAATGAAGATGAATTAAAAATTTAGAAAAGCGATCAGCAGTAGCTATGCATACAGTCAATAGTGGACACATGATTAGCTTCGAGAATGTAAACATATTGGGAAAATGTTCCCATTGGCATAAAGAAAGATTAATTTCCGAAAGCCTGCGTATTTTAACAATATCAAATGCTATAAACAGAAAAGAAGGAATAGACTTTTCACCTAGTTGGCAAACATTAGTCCGACAAAATCATTATTGATGATCTTTTCTGATTGAATCTATAATATTGGTGATAATTATGCTGGATAGTGGTTAGCAGTGGAATCCAGGAAGCGTATTTTGTCGCATTTGGGACCAGTCAGCTGGATGTCGGTCCCAAGTTCGAATCCAGGTGGGAACAACACTCACTTGGAGGGTTGTACATCTAGCCGACAACTCCCAAATAAGACGAATGGGCGCATCCTGAATTCTACTGCGAACCACTATCCGTCATTACTATTATTAAGACACAGGTAGTATTGAAGCATCCGTAGAGGAGCCCATAGCCATTACAGACCGATCAATTCGATCCAATCAACGACGAGATAATACAAGCAATTATACTAATAATGGTAATTATTAAAGGTTCACAAATAAAAGTACATGAAGCAACACGAATTCTATAACATACGTAAACACACACACACTGACTATCTTATACATTGGTTGAGAAATGACAATACCCAGCATGAACTTGTAATGACTAATTTTAATTACTCAAGCTAGCTGGACAGAATGACCTACGTTCATTATATACATTTGATGCATCATTCAACTATATATTTTGATGTTAATAAAAAAAAAACTGGTTTATTCTGCTGAAGAAGCTGTGGCGTATAGAGCAAAACGTTCAGAAACATCTTGTTTTGATTTTGTAAACACGCTGGGATTATATTGAAATGTATTCTTGTAATGATTCAATCAGATTTGCCACTCGACTTCTTCCAGGACATTTCTAATAACTATATACTGAACGTTTATAAGCTTATCTTATACATTTATAAAGAAATTTGTACCAAGATGAGATATCATTTCCTAATTTGTCTATAATTGTATTTTTATGTGAGATAAAACGACTGATTGATCAGCAACTAGTCATCATAATCAATCCATTTATTCAGGATAGACATAAGCTCAGATTTGTTGTTTGTTGAACACCGCTCCATGTAACCTATGTTGTATGTTATATATATATATATATATATATATATATATATATAATTATTATAAGCGAATGTGATTAGTCAAAACAATTTTGTGTTAATTTGGTAATTTGGTAAACAAAACTGAGGGATACTTGAAAAACAATCATCAATACTGTTGGACAATAACTAGTAGACGAATCAAGAATAGATGTTTCATTCATTTTACAACTTAAACCGAATGTATCTGGATTTTATCACACATTAGTATTCATCATAATCAAGGTGAAATAGCAAAATATCCAAATGGCGGTCTTTGAACTGATACTGAATAACTCATTTTCGTTCAAACTAATCATCATTGGAAACCTCTGATAGTCTTACCATAATTGAGATAAATAAGCAGAAAGCATATAAACAATATCTCACTGTCATCAAGTTGTCTGGATATGATTTTTGAACAGTGACTTGCATCCAATGTTATTCGTCAAAAAATCCCATTTCACCATATGCTGCATTTGATAAACAAACTGGGATCTAAAATATGTTCATATCTTAACTGTAACAAGTTGACTGATTAAAGTAGAGCAATAAGTTCTACGTTCAGATTAACTAATGACAAGATAACTTGGAATGGGAGTCTCCAAGTTACAAGTAAAAATTCATTTCATACTATTACGGTCAACCAAATTTATTTAACATTGTAATCTCTGAATACCAACTTGCTTTTGGTAGTATTAAATGAGTAATGAAAATACAAAGTGAGATTACTTTTATTAAACTCCATTGATTCACCGCTATTAGCAGTAAAGCTCTCGTGTGGATGTCTCGTTATTGGTAATTATGATGCACAGTGTCTAGCAGTGAAATCCATAACGTGCGTTTTGTCCTATTTAGGGCTCGTCAACCGGATTCACCTGCCCCCCCCCACCACCACCACATTCAAATGATGTTGTTTCCATTAAGACAATGGTCATTGTGTGTAACACTGGTGTTCCAAGTGACTGCTACTCGGTTTTGATCCTAGGGGGAACCACATCAAGCACTGAGAAGCAGGTACATCCAGCTAGCGAATCCCAAATAGAACGAAATGCGCATCTTGGATTCCTCTGTTATCCAATATCCATCAACTGAACGTGAAATTAATAAAAACTACTTGTCAGGATAGTTGTGCTCTTTTCCTATTTCTTTGTATGTATTCAGTAAGGAAATGGAAATGATTTTTTGATAGAAAAGAGTGGAAAATGAAGATAATGAAGAAATAGGTTAGCTATTTAATATGCATACACTTTACCCAGAATGCTTGAGATCTATTGCAGAGAAAAATGTTGGATGGAATGGGTCTGAAATTTTCTCATTGTTTCTTTGGTTTTCATTGTACTTTTGATGAATTGTTTGTTCAATAACAGAACGATTAATTCCTTTATCTGAAGTGATTGTTAAATTTGGCGAATTCCATTGTTGACTTATCTATATCATAAAAGTAAAGTTTATTCATATTTTAGTACTATAGAAAAGTAAATAATCGATAAGCAAATTGTAATTCCTTGTCATTGATTGGACTGAATTGACTGACCTCTATTGTAATTTGAGCTTCAACGAGGATACTTCGATATTGCTTGTATTTTCAAATTTAATGTTGCAAGTTGGTAGTCATCGTGAACTGACATTAGTTGGAGGAACATTGGTAACCTGGGAGCACTGGACAACTGAGTTGTCCCAGCATCGGACTCTTCAGCAGTATGCTACCATGACCCCGCCCCACCAGGGATCCAACCCATCACCTTCAGGTTCCATGGCCTGCACGTTACCATTGAGCCACTCGGTCTCAATCCAGTCGTTCATATTTCCAACTTCTCTCAGTTCACAATATAGTGCGACCATTACCCAGTGTCATCCCTGAGTATTTGAAACTGATGAATCCCCATAAACTCCCAAACTGAAATTTAATAATATTGATGGATAACCGTTAGAGATGGAACCCACGGCGCATGTTGCTGCCTATTTGAAACTAATCACCTGGATGTGACTGTCTCCCAATGTTGATGTTGTTCCCACAAGGACTCCAACTAGAGACCGGTCGCTTCAAACGCTACAACCCTATCCACTAAGCCACTGATTCTCGATGACCACTCTTTGTACGACTAGTATAGCATAAGTTGTGCATCTCCATTGTTGATGAAACGTGCGCCCTGGATTCCACCGCTGCGAGGTGAACGTGGTGAAGTGTTCATTCAGTTCTAGTGCATCTAGTCGACACAGGATATCACATAGATGCTAATAAAGTTTTCAATGTTATTCATCGTTCCCAAAAACGACACCACATGTTGCTCACCAACACCTGCTCAACTTAGCGAAGGCTGTTCCAATAAGACTGACCAATCACAAACTCTGCATTCACAAAGAACATATCCAAGCGTCATGTGTTCTTCCTTGACCTTCAACAAACTAAAGGCCACTCCCACCATCTTATTCGTTATCTTTTTGTTTTATCATCATATCATTCTTCTGTATATGTATCATCCCAACACTGACTAATTTAAAAAAGACAAATCGACTTTCTTACAATCGCTAAATCTCATTCCACATTGAAAATGTAACTACCCCTAACATGGCTTGTTTTAAAGCTGTGTACAAATGGACTTTATAATTTTCATTGAGAAGAATATTCTTCCTTCAAATTGTTGCTTTTTATAAATATCAAAATTACTGGTCAGCTTATCTATATTTTCTGAATGTTGGTTTTCATAAAGAAACTAAACAATCCAATTATTTTAGTGTTTAGCTGTTTATATACATAATGAAGAATAAACTAAAAGTATTACAGGAATATGCATGAGATTATTACAAAATAGTAATAATAATTTTATTAATAACACTTACGTTATGTTGGTTAGGTTTAGGCTGTACATCTGTAGGTCGTGTAATGATACCACCACTTCGTCCTAATTTAATCTCAATACCACGTTGAGGTATATTAGATGGGATTAAATTATTTGGAGTAGGTTGGTGATCACCTGACATCAAATAAAATAAACATTTATTGTCATTTAAATTGTTTGCCTCAACAGGATTGATGAAGACGTTATGTGACAAGGGTAAGGAACTCTCATTAAATTACACTGAAATATGATATGATATATAGGCAATACATTTATTCCACTGGTCTTGGTAACATTTTACTAAGATTAAACATGATTAAAGTACTAATGATGATAAATACCGTTGGAAAAAGAATGAAATGCTGATCGTCTACAAAACGTTTTAACTTTTGTATCTTTCTTACATAACGTGATAATTAATTGATTCTACTATCTTCCAGAAAGACTTATCAATGAACTTTGTAAATCGAAACTATTCAAAATATAAGTTACATTGATTGGTCACTAGAGGGTAACCTACTTCATGCTGTCTAGTCCTGAATTCTAACCACCGAGCTAGAAGGAGAAAAATCGCTGTGACAAGCCTTGTAGCTTGATGGCGATATTGTAAATTAATCGATAGAATTTAGTGAGTATTCAGAAGTAGACAAGATGAAACTGAGAAAATAAACAATGTAAGAAAAGCCAATGTCAACTGGTCAATATAGTCATTTTTGAGTTTCCTTCCCTTGTAATAGAGACGAAATTTAGTGAAATGTTTGCTCCACCGAGTAAGAATTGTATGCTCGAATGGCACTTTCGAAGAACAAATTCAAATTATCCGTAATCTACCCAGTAGTAATGGATATTTAGAAAGGTTTCTAGCTAAAAATATGAAGTTATCTAGTATAAAACAACCTAAAGTACTTATAGCTTCTAAGAAACCTCTGTTCCTAAGATGACAGTTTCGGGGTGACAATATCAGCGCTCAAGAAAAGCCATAAGAAGGTTATTTAATGTAGTGAAGTAATGCTAAGCATTCTGCAGTCGCCTGACAATGACTTCACGAATCAAAGACAGGCTAAGTGAATTCACCTCTTCTATGTGCATTTCCTTTTCCAGTGGAGCTAGTTAAGCTGGACATACAGTTAGGCCAGTCGCTCATCGAATAGCCAAGCATCACTGGTCATGGTTCAGTAAAGAGTAAACAAGATCATTACGGAGCTCAATACTCTCTCATCTGGTCGACACCGGTCACCAAGTTGATAATCACAAAGCCTTCCTTCTAATCTCACCCATGCTCTATGACTTCATCTTTTACACACACCAGAATCCATCGGAATCATCCTGAAGAAACCGCGTTTGTGTGCTCACAAGAAATTTGAACAGCCTCTTTCTTCGCTTTGCTTATCTGCTCAGCTTATCTGTAAACAGCACCACCCTCTTATTCATTCATCTCACAAACGTTTACAATTATCATTCTTATTCTTATGATTATGACCACTATTATTATTATTATTATTGTGGGCTGACTACTTCAAAAAACTCTTCAGTCGACCACCGCCACCTGCAACTCGTCCACAAATACCACCAGAAACGACAGTACTGCCAGTGAACACATCCCCTCCAACAAAATTCGAAGTTCTGAATACTGAAATCCGGCAAAGCAGCAGGACCAGATGGAATCCCTCCAAAAGCACTGAAAACAGACGCACGTACATCAACAGCTGACATGCTCACACCACTACTGAAGAAGATTCCGATGGAAGGAAGGAAGAACGGCTACCTTGTCAAACTTCCAAAGAAAGGCGAGCTAAGTCTTTGCAAGAACTGGTGCCGAATCATGCTCCACCACTGTCCACTCCAAGCAAAATATTAAGCCGCATCATCATGGGGAGACTAAAGGATGTGTGGGATTCGAAATTACCATCGAAGCAGGCTGGCTGGCTGGGTGGGCGGCTTCAGGAAGAACAAATCATGTGCAAATCAAATTGCAACACTACGCTTCACACCACCATAGAACAGAGCATAAAATGGCGGTCAACTCAACTCCACCTCAACTTCATCGATTTTGAAAAGGCCTTCGACAGCGTCGATCGAGAAGTAATTTGGCAGGCAGCTGCCTCAACACTACAGTTTTAGTGCCACAAACCTTTATCTACCTCATTCAACAGCAGCCATATGCTATATGATGCTACATGCCATGCCAAGTGATTCACAATGGAAAGTTCATTGACGCCTTTGAAGTGAAGACAAGGGACAGGAGTAAGACAAGACAAGGCTGCCACCTACTATCACCGATCATCTTCCTGATTATGGTTGACTGGACTGGATCATGCAACAAACTGTGACGAGCGAGAAGAAGGGCATACACTGTCCGGGTCGATGAAGAGACCCTAGAACATTTGGATTGTGCCAACGATGATTTTTGTCTGCTATAACCAAGGAAGACGGGACTTGCTTCAGGTGAACGCAGATATAACATAAGTGATGGAGGTACCCAACCAACAGCAACAACAACATAAACAGCAAGTACCAATCACCATCAACGGGGGGAATCTGAAGGAAGTAGTCTCTTTCACCTACTTCAGCTTGACAGCATCGTCTCAACTACAGGTGGCGGCACAGACAAGGGCGTCAAAGCCATCCAGGATCGGAACGACAGCAGGACAGATCTTCCTGCATCAACCTGAAGTAATCAGTGTGGAGATCTACTGCACTCCACTGCACTCAGCATAAAGCGTGAACAACATCTGGATTTTTAATACCAGTGTCAAGTCAGTCCTACTATATGGTTCAGAAACTTGGCGCGTTTTGAAAAGCATTTCCAACAAAATACATTCACCAACAGATGCTTACTCTGGTTGCTGAAGATTAGATGGCCAGAAAGGATAAAAAACAAGGAAATGTAGGAACAAACCAACTAAGAACCCATCGGCCAACAAATATGCAGATGAAAGTGGAGATGGATCGGGAATACACTGAGAAAACCCTTCGGAGACATGACGCGCCAGGCCAGGCCGTCGAGTTGAATCTAAATGAGAAACGACGAGTAGGGCGTCCGAGTCGAGAGTGATATGAAGGACATAATGTGATGAAGAAATGAAAGTTTGTGGGCAGTCGTGGTGCCAGGTTGAAAAGACTTCAGAGAAGAGGGTGAAATAGAGATGTGCTACTGAATCCCTATGTTCCACTAGGAACCCAAGGGACAAATAATAAAAATGATAATAATCTAGAAATTAAAGAATATAAATTGTAATTGTAGTACTTGACAATGAATGATGGTTACCTAAATAAATCGAAGTGATTCTAACTTTAGTGATATGATGACGTTAATTTCCTACATAATACATTTATTGAGAAAGGCACTTACTGACAGTTGATTTGATAACAGGATCTACAAGTTTTTGCTGATCATTTTTAGATGATTTAACTGAGATTTCTGTTTGTTTACCAACTGAACTGCTTGATGTATCCTGTGTTTCAGGTAGTTTCTCAGGAAGAGGTTTCAAGTTGTCAGATGTGATTGTTTTGCTACTTTTTGTTACTCCTTGAGTTTTAATATCTTGTGATGGTTGTGGCTTCTTTTGTTCAGTATCTGAATTTTGTTTTGTATCAACTTGTATAGGTTGACTAAGTGTAGATTGTATTTCATTTATCTTCTGTTGTTCTCTTTCAATTTCTACTCTTTTCGTATCAGTTTCTTGCCTTTTAACTTCAGTTGACTGTTTTGTTGTTTCTTTTGAAGGAGGCGGTGGATTGAGATCTGTGTTTGATTCTGTTGGTTGCATTGGTAAGGTTGAAATTTTGATAAGAGTAGATGATGGAGTATTCTCTTCACTTACGTCTGTTCCAGCTTGTTTTACTCTATCTAGTAAACGTACGGAGTTGGCTGGCTTTTCTATGGATGTCTCTAAAGGAGTTAGTGTTTTCAGATTGATCTCAACTGGATTTATCTTATCTGCAGACTGATTGATTATTTCTTTGACTGACTGTTGTTCATTGCCTTTTTTGTCATTCGTCTTCGGAGTACTGTCAGTAGTTTTGTTATCTTCAATTTTTGGATTTTCTTTCATAGATATTGTTTTCTTTTTTGTATCTAATTTTCCTCTACCAGGTGTAGTCGATTTACTGTCTTTCTCATCAGTTTTTTTATCCTTATCATATTCGCTTGACTTTGAACTTTTTACAACGACTGGTGAATTTCTACCAGAGTTATCTTTCTTATCACGAGATTTACCAAGATCCTACAAAAGGAAACATAAGCCGAAAACTTCATTACATTCATACCTATTACTGGATATCAACTAGGAATATACTAGCCATCTGCAGTCATAAAAATCAGTTGGTAAATTTAAACAACATGATGATCAATCTAGGTAATTTGCAACATCAGTAGATTATAGATAACCATTAATGATCGGAAACAGCTGTCAAGATGGTTTAAACCGAGAAATAGTTTAACCTTGACACCAGTCCTCTTCAGTGAAAAAAACAAACATGACTTAAACAGAAGGCAGTTAAAAGGAGCTTTCTTTTCACATTAAATTAATTCATTCGATACTGGCTGGACACAGGGACATAATAATGTTTACTGGATGATGTTTCAAGTAGAATTTATTGTTCATATTCATATCAAAGTAATCAAACCTCATTCAGACTAAATCTTCTTAGTCTAACAGTTTTTTATTCTTTTACTTCATTGGTAGTGGAGTTTTCGAAATGTCCACACTAAGTCATGAATTATTCTTGTTGCATGTGCTCAGTGTGGATTCGATGAACTGAGGTCCTTTAATTGGTCTTCCTATTCCACCTAGTTGCACTCACTGTATTTCAGAAGTGTCACCCTATCTCAACCTATAGTATGATTATGCTTCAGTGCATACTGACTTTTTCTCTAAATTACTTATCTTAGTAGACTCTGTCATTGAATTTCTGTCCTTCGCTATTCTGATCACCTGGTCTCATCAATATATACTTGATATCATAATCATTGGATATTACCTGACAGATTGAGTTATTTTGCTCAATTTCCTCTACTGGATCTTTTAATCTACAAAGTCCCTCTCATAGTGAGTGTTTGGGTTTAAATCCCATCCTAATCCCTGTATTGTTAGGAATCCTACATAAAATCTGCAATGTGCTTTTTGATATCATAACACTACAGAGGATTTGAGTTCCCTCTAATGCATGTTGTAATTACCATTTTTATAATCACTCTTTCTTTTATAAGTTCTTAAAAACCCTTTAATGAAACCCGGATGGCAGCTATTAAGTAGGAGTATTCGTTCAATGTCTTACAGTTCCTTATTTCCGCCTTCTCATTTTCTAGTCAAACTGCTAATCCGATTACTTAGATATTTTACTTAGCCTACCTTGACAGATATAGGGTGAGATGACAAGTGTTGGTTTCCTATGCACACTTTGTAGGCTAAAAGATCCGGTGGATTCAGTCCAGTAGATCCAGTAGTCTGTTCTATCAAGTGTCGTGTAATGATTGTGAGGTCAAGTGTTGCAGGTCGAAGCAGCCAATCGGAGTTGGAATAGTGCAGAACAAAAACCTAGCGAAACATAGAATAATGAATCATACCAAGATACATAATTTAGAGAAGAAATCAACTGTCACTCCACATGGACTAAGAAACAGTCACCCAGCCTATATGGTGGGACTGAAATCAGTCAGAAAACCAGCTATTGTGAACTTTCAAGTTCCTCACAGTTACCTAATCTATGACATTAACTTTCTACGTCTAGTCATTTGTTGTTTCCATCCATTTCTTAATCACTTTCAACAATACTCATCTAACCCTAACTGTGAACAGTTTACCTTCTTACATTTTTTTCAGTTTACTCCTTATGACCGGTCTGTATCATTCATGTTTCCATGAATAATTTCTTGATAAAATTATGTCAATTTTTATTTTAGTGTGTACACTTTGATACTATTTAAGTTGTAGGCGGCCAAGGATAATGAATAAAGATAAATTCTTGAGGTAGTAGAGAAGATGTATAGCCCAGGATGAGGATGAAAACTGTTTGCTGTTTTCCCAGATCTGAGGTTCACCCTCCGATGTTTCATCCTCCAGCCTGGTGACTTCATCAGCACATACTTCATGAAGATTTGAAGCATTTTCAAACTGTATGAATGTCTATGAAGTATATTCGCTGACCTTGAGTGTTGACCTTAACACCCGCTATTGTCATTTGATAGTTATGAAGGTCAACTTCTGATAAAAAAGGAAGACGAATTCATGCCTACCGACAAACCAGTAACGCTCAGGGTAGACAAATATCCTTCACAGACATTCATACAACTTGAAAATATTTCACTTCTTCTTTGTGAAGTAAGGGTTGATGAAGTCATAAAGTCTGGTGATGAAACTTCCAGAAGCAAGCATCAAACCACGGGAACAACGAACAGTTACCAAAGACAAGTGCATACGTTTCTTCTGTAACAGTTCTTCTTACTTTATCTAAGAAATCCAAGTGAACAACTAAATAGCAGTTACTATGCTTGAAATCGTCCAACACTAAATGAAAAGTGTAGATTGTTTTTATCATGCTCAGCATTACCTTCACTACCTTACTATGTATGTATGGTAGTCTTACAGTATTATGAAAACCAGCCAATGAACAATAGAACAATTTATAACAAATGATTAAATGTTAAAATTTGCTCAGTGGTGAATGACAGAGAAATACACAACATATATTTCCTACGATTTTGCCACTCTTCAGCTGGGTATACATGCATCGTATTGAAACTTGTACTCGGTAGCCATCATTTCAAACACCAAACCGTTACGTAATAGGTAACTAAATCACAAGATTCACCACCTGTGCAACGAAGGCCAGTTGTTATTCATTGACACCAGTAATTTCTGATCGTTAATATTGGGTCAAATTAATCAGTTCCCGTTAACATATGAGCTGTTGTACTGATACCTCAATACCTCTAGAAGGTTCATTATTCCTCAGTTTGCTTGATGAGTAGCATAACATACTAAGACAAGAGACTGTTATTTGGATAGAAGAATAAACCAATGAAAGCGGTCGGTGTGTTACGGCATGAAACAACTCATGAATTCCGCAACTGACTGGGTGCGATTAAACAATCGCTTTTCAGAGATGGGTAATGAAAATACCAATATAATAAAAAGCATAATGATTATGACTATGACAGTAATATAATGATAGCAACTGTAACCAAGTAACATAATCCTAAGAAATACTGTTAATTTCTTAGTCCACAGATCACAGGTTTGAATGGTTATCCAACTGATGCCAGTCCGTGCTGAATACCATCTTGAAATAAATAAAATCCCTATAAAACAAGCTGAAATTACTGTCTAGTGCTCATTAATGACATGCATTGATATGAAGCCGTGACCTTTGGGGTCAAACAATTGGAAACAAAGAAGTTACCAACCAGTGACCTGAAATGATAGTCACGCTATATTACGAGTTGACAGAAATAGGAAACTGTGGACCACTTAATTTCTACTCAGTATCTTAACGGCTAACGCGTTCGCCATGAGACCTAAACGTCCTGAGTTCAATACTTTATGGGGTCGTGTGTGCGTGCTGCTAGGGAGTTTTTTGCTAGGACGAACATTAAACTAAAATCATTAATAAACATATTTCAAAGTTTTTAATGTTAAATATTACAAGCAAAACACAGGCAATATCGAGGCATCCGTGCAGGAACCTATGTGCCGATAGAGACCAATGATTGTGGTCCACTCAACGACGAGATAATAAAAGCAACAACATTAGAAACTATGGCCGTCTCACAAGAAGTGGGTGTTGTAAATCAGTGGTCTAGTGGATAACGCTCGAGTGTTTGGAGTGACTGGTCTCGAGTTTGAGTCCAAGTGACAACAACACTCCTCACTGGGAGTCAGGTACATCCAGCTGATGAGTCTCAGATAGGATGAAACGCGTGTCCTTTATTCCACTGCCAGCCAATATCCATCATTAATATTTCAGAGTTCATCCATCCAATCTAGTGTATTTCTGTCAGACTTATGGTGACAAATTCAGTTTAGAGGCTTGCATGGATTTTAATGATTTCAGACTAGTTTTCACCCTGAACTGACATCAGTTAGAGAAACACTGGGGACCTGGGAGCACTGAACGGTTGTTTTGTCCTAGTACGGGACGTCTCTGCGATGCGCGCCTATGACCCTGCCAGAGATCGGACTCAGGGCCTCCAGGTTCTGTAGTAGGCATGTTACCATTAAGCCACTAATGACAAAATTTCATCTTATATCAAAAGGAATGAATCTTAAGCATTTTTGTGTCTCATGACCACGTGAACTCACCTACAACTGTATTGCAAATTACAATCCGCTTCATGTTACACACTAAATGAAGATACTCGATTGCCCAACGAATTTAATTTTGTTAAGAAACCAGATGCAAAGAGCATGACAGATTTAGAAAATTCTAGTTTCTGTACTAAAAGTCTATCTTAAAACTCTGCTTATAGCATGTGATCATTGTGAAGTGAATTAGGTAGTGGATGGGGTCAGGTACTTGTTGATAGCGTTAACAGTAGGATGGTTTATCATGAACAAGAAGGTGGCGGATGTTCTAATATCATCATCAGACTACTATCACTCAGTAGAAGAAAAATGGTGCATGAAGGTCTTAAGTTTACAGCTGAAAAGGAATGCGAATAAAGCTTCTGAGCTCTGGAAAAAAGTACAATTCGACATTTGTATTGTAGTATATCTTGAAGTATTTTTATTTTGGTTGATTTATTAGATATGTCATTAAGTGCGGCAGCGTTATCATTTACTCGACTATGTTTCGAACACATTTTTTCTCTATAATCCTATCAAGATAACTACACAACTTTGCAACAACCTTTACATAGTTGTAATTTTCTCACCTCCTTTGTGGTATGCGTAGCACGATTCTCAAGTGACTTTAAAGGTCAACTTCCCAATTACTGAGATAACCAATCAGGTTTCAGTGTTCCGACTGGAAAGGTAGTTTCTCATAAGATAGACTAGTATGATTGGTGATTTCAGTTGATGGTAGGGTGTCCTTTGCAGTAGCCCCGATTCTCCATACATCCGGAACAGATACTGAGTCATTCCCGTTGCATGTATTTGGTGCTGATTGGATAAACAAATATTCACTTACCAATATCTCCCTTCAGCCCACTAGGTTAGGTCCAAGGAACTTCATTCTATCCCACCCTATTGTGTGGTTCTGTGTAATTGCATGGATAGCTATGGTCTAGCTTTTTTCTAGATTCCTTATCTTACTAGGATCTACCAATTTTCATCTAGCTAGGATTTTGTGTTCGGATAGCCTATCTGACCCTGGTCGACTACTTTCACCTATATATTTAACCTCGCTATCATTGCGAGGGACTTGGTAAACTGAATTATTCTGCTTGCTGGGATTAATAGGATCTTTTACCCTACAAAGTTTATCTCTTAGTGAGTTTGTAGGCTTAAATGCCACTGTAATGCCAGTCAGCCTTATTCAGAATCCTACGTGATGCCTATGAGGTACCTTATTTTCTAGCAAAACAGAAGACAAGAAATCAGGTACATTCAGGACTCCTCAATCATTATTAGTTATCCTCCTAAATTAATTAATAAGTATCTTAGTAATCGTAAGAAAAATATGACTAATATTGATGACATCAGTGTTAACAGTAGTAGTAATAATAACAATGACAATACTGTGAAGATAGAATTCAAAACCTCTATAGTATTACGATACAATGAAGGGACTTCAGAAACTACGTAGGATTCTGAATAAGGCTGACTGGCATTACAGTGGCATTTAAGCCTACAAACTCACTAAGAGATAAACTTTGTAGGGTAAAAGATCCTATTAATCCCAGCAAGCAGAATAATTCAGTTTACCAAGTCCCTCGCAATGATAGCGAGGTTAAATATATAGGTGAAAGTAGTCGACCAGGGTCAGATAGGCTATCCGAACACAAAATCCTAGCTAGATGAAAATTGGTAGATCCTAGTAAGATAAGGAATCTAGAAAAAAGCTAGACCATAGCTATCCATGCAATTACACAGAACCACACAATAGGGTGGGATAGAGCGAAGTTCGTTGAGCCTAACCTAATAGGTGACACATAATCGAGTAAATGATAATACTGTAGCACTTAATGATACATCTAATAAATCAACCAGAATACAATTGAAATCTACCGCAATGCCCAAGTTTCACTCTCATTCTTCTTCAAGTGTCTTCCACAGTATATCCAAATGATACAACTGTCAAGAATAAAAGCATAAAAACCATTTTTACCAATGAATTACAGACATACTATTTAATTGTAACAACTACTTACTTCAAAAAAGTTTTTAAAATTCTTCATGAGTAAAACTTTTCAGTTTGCTTCATTCATTTCCTAATTCCAATAAAAATGTTCTTCGTCCTCTAGGTAGATATGCATAGTTATAGATTTTGTTTCTGCATACTTATTTGTTAAAAGTTAACTGTAGTCTACCAATCACAAGAGAAATAATCAAGGAAAATTGATTCAATCGATATACTTGCACTTCACCTATTGAAAACGTTTATTCTCTCTCTCACTCACTCTTCATATATATGAAGTAATACACTGAGTTCAACGATTTTTTAAATCAATGAAAAATGGTAATATTCAATGGACAAAGTGAATGACAAGAGCACACTACTGAAAAATCTTACTTAGTTGATTGATTTACGGAGAATAGATTGATTTTAGGGTAGTTTCCATCACAAATCAAAAGCACCCAGGTAATTATTGAAAAACACCGGAACATTGGCCAACTATTCGGTTATGTATAGTTTAGGAATCTCTGCCAATTTACAGCCACAACTCGATGCTGATGGCATGTGAGACTGTCACTTCTCATGCTGACTGTATTACCATTCAGTGGATTTCTGATTCACTCGCGTTTGTCAGAATCCATTCTCATACCAGGTACTCCGCAGAATACCGCTATGCTTTACAGCTTCAGAGAAGCCAACTTTGGCAGAAACAGCTAATCACACACAAGTCTTTTTTGTGAAGAAAACCCTATAGCTCACTTCTTTCTGAAGTTTGTACTGATGATATTGTCATGAATGACAATGAAAGCTTCATGACTAAACCTACCAGCTCAGAAAAAACAACACCACAAGAATTCAACTAAAGCTGAGTTGCCGAGGAGCCCGAAATCGTTAATAATCTGAATATTTTTCTGTGGCAAGTTGATGCATCTCAAGGTGATTTTATTCAGGGATTGACACCGTTCACTGGGAAGTAATTCAGCATTACTAAGTAAGCCAAAAACTAGTCTATTCACCAAATACTCGCTATGTGTGTGTGTGTGTGTGTGTGTGTGTGTGTGTGTGGTTCACACTACTACTATAATTTAATGTTCTTTCGACTTACAGACTCTTCGTTTAACACTTCAAATATTCAAATGTATACATTTCCTTTGGAAGAAAACATATATATTTAATCTCATTCAGTTAAAAGGAATTTAAAAAACGATTAGTGAAAATTTCGGAACATAAGATGTTAAACAGTGAACATATCTGCACCATTACATCTGATGGTCAGTTATTTCACCAAAAGTCTTCAATCGTTGGTTGCTATCATCTCTAGGACCCCAATCAGGTAGTCTACATCTCCCCCCACATAGCTGAAATCGAAAAATAAAGACTTCATGGATTAATCGAACTTCTTATTCTCATCACCCTGAATTCGCTTCTAACCGAATTTTTCTTCAGCTAACACTGTTAGTCGAGGTAGGTAGCGATATGTCAGCATGTGCAACATGTGAAAGTTGACAACCTCATCAGTCCCCTTCATAGTAATATTCGCCTAACCTGAACAGTAACCACACGTTGATACCACTAGAAGTGAGCAGTACCACGAAAGACATTTCTGGTGAAAGACCTATCATCTCTCCTAGGATAAGAGTGATATCCCATAGCTACATAACAGAACAGAATGGGCTGTAGCGCAGTATACTTGTTCATTATTAGATAGTCAGACATTTTGCCGGCATCAGAAATCATGTAAGTTGTCAACTGTCAAGCAAGCTTAATGTATCTGAGCTAAAGTTTTGGAAGCAACCAACCCATTTGAAGTAATACAACTTCCCAAATAAGTGAAGTAACCAATGCAAGTCATTCCTGCGGAATTATGTCACATTTGAGGACAGGGAAAGGTATGCCACTCAGACACTTGGGTCTAAGTAAAAATCACCTCATCTAGTTTACTCAGCAAATCAAGTTTAAAGTTGACAACGGGGATGTTGAATCTTCTCCACTGAATAACCCAATTAGGTTTCATTCCCTGTCATGCTTAGGGGAACACTGAATTCAGACGCTACGAAAACAGATTTTAAGCTTTACTGCCAACCCATTCACTTCAGAGGATAGAGTACTTTCATTAAAAAATTAACCGAGTTAGACGTTTCTTCTGATGTCTCTGACAGTTAATTTATTGATAGTGACTGGGTGATGATTGAATGTGAAATGAAAATCTGGGACGTAGTATGTATGATACAAGTATTTGAAACTATGGTTATCTCAGACAGTCAAACTGGCAATCAATTTATTGAACAGAAACAGTTGTGGAATAAACATATACTATTTCTAAAGTATTTGAAGCAATTTTTCAAAGAATCTTACGTTCATAGCAGAATACCATTTTGTTCAATATACCAAAGAAGCATTGATATTCACTGAAAGTTTCGTTTTATTCCTGAAATTTAACCTATTTAATTACAAGACAGTCATCATCATCAATATCAACACAGGATCAGGCATTACTGCATAACGGTCCGAGTTGCCACACCTTATATCACTACATCAAGTAAAAAGGCGGTGAAGTGAAAGATGGGGAAAAGAAAATTCAGTCAAAAGAAACATAAAGTACTAAAAGTGAGAAAGGAAGAATGAGAAAATGGTGAAACTCGGTATAGCGTCGTTAAGATGAGGATAATGTGTGTGGGACACATCTGCGCCACTCACATCAGTTCTGAGCCATATCCCCTAGAGTCTCTAACCACTGGTTCCTCTTGTCCCGCCGACCCCAACCACCTAGTCTGCATCGTCTCACATGTCTCAAACCAACAGTCATGTTTTAGTCTGGCCACCTCGACCCTTTTTACAGCCTCCACCTACTTCGGCCAACATTGTATGACGAGGCAGTCGGTGACTAGGCATACGTAGTATGTGTCCCAACCATCTCAATCGATGGAGGTTCATAACCTCGTCAACTGATTTACCTCTTCTTCCTGAAACCCTATACCTGACGTCTGCATTACTCACGCGGTGACACCACGGAATACGGCCTGTACTACGAAGTCAAAGGTGGTCAAACACTTGAAGCCTTCTCATATCTTCCACCATCAATCGCCATGTTTTTCAGCCACAGAATAGAACAGACCAGACTGCTGTGCAGTACACACGACTCTTAATAGACGACCTGATATCGTGGCGGCGTCATAGCTGGGGTAAATTGGCAAAAGCCAATCGAGCCTTTTGTATCCGTGCAGAGATTTCATCAGCCACTGAACCACTAGGGCTGATCCTACTTCCCAGGTAAGTGAAGTGGTCGACACACTCAACCACTTTACTCTAACAAGACAGTAGTTTGTAATTTAGCAAGTGAGCTTACATAATCGCCTCGTCTCTACGTCTTTTCTCTAGGTTTTCAATAAGGTAATGTTTGGTCCTGAAACGTCACTGAACGACGTTTGATAATATAGGGATGGATTTAATGCTTTGTGAAGTACCACTTTTACTGCTGACTGTTTCAAATATTAAACTTCGTCACGAAGAAGATGGTGATGAAGCCATCTAACCTGTTAATAGAATATTCACAATCGAACACAACAAAAGTATGAGGACAACGTAAATTTATCATCTTCATCTTGAGCTACGAATATCTTCTCTTCGACTACAACACTTGACAAACTTAACTCCTGTTCACATTTGAAGTGTTAGGATAATTTATTTGCTACAAATATTTGGTTTCATACTCTTCTGACTTTAACTTTCGCTAATAATAATTAAAATCAGAAAGGAGTACGTCGGAATGAAGTATATCTCTTGCGAAATCAGATACCGGTTGCGCCAAACCCAAAAGGCGAAGCTGGGTTCAAACCTGTCATTTACTGACAGAAGTCATGTGCTTTAACCAACCACCCATAGCATCACAAATGTCGCACAAACATGTTTTATTTCGTTGACCTAAATAAACATGAAATATGACTAGCTAGCGTTTCACGTCCATCGGCTTTCATAATCGACGTATTTTAAAGTCACGTTTCAATGGGCTAACGGTATGCCTAAAAATGCCTAGTCTAGTCATGGTAAGTCAGTGCAATAGTAGATATGAGTGTTTCTAATGAGCTTAACTTTGATTCTGCAAATGAAGTAAATGAAATTATGGAAAACGATACTTCATTGACTGTTGCCTTTGTTTTACTCTCATTTTTTCAAGTTGGTATTCATCGTGGAGTAGCATTAGTTGGAGGAATATTGGAAACCTGAGAGCACCGGACACGTGTTTCGTCCCAGTATGCGACTCCTGAGCAGCGCGTACCCATGAACCAGACAGAAGTCGAACCCGGTACCTTTCGACCCGGTAACGTGCTGGCCATAGAACCCGAAGGTTCTGGGTTCAGGTGACGTGACCGCCACCTTACCACTGAGTCACTATTCAATAGTCCATGTTTCCAACTTCTGTTAGTTCAGGCGTTATCTTAATCTTGTTGACAGACAGTAGATCAATTTCAAACATGCATTCAAAGTTAAATTTCTCCTCATCTCTTTCATACACACACACTCCCATGTGGTAATTAAGTTGATTAACACCGATCTAATGTACCACGTTTTCCCAGTTGTTTCATCTGCATCAGATTCATTTTAAAGGCTTTTTGACTTTTAAAGATAAAGTGATGATGAGGCAGGTACAACCAGCTGACCAGTCCCAAATAGCTGGTTGATTCAGTCCAATCAGCGATACACAGTTACAACGCATAACACAAAAATTTTCAATAGATGCTTCATCATAATGAAATTTATAAGTGCCTTACAATATATTTGTGGTTACGATTTTCAGAACGGCGATATTTCTAGACAAATAAACAATCCTTCACAAAAATGGTAAACGCAGTTTGAAAACTGAATCTTAATATAACTGTCGGTTAATCCCGTTGTGTTTCTGTGCTCAGCGGCTGCTGAATATCAGATGTCATAATGAAGTTAATTCAAGATTAACATAAATTTGTGATTTCATTTATACAATTAGTAGCTGAGTGTTTACGAATTCAATTCTTACAAAATGTTATAGAAAGAGTCCTAGGACCGTTCATTGCAAAATAGTTT